CCGTTCGCCTTCGGTCTTCGTTTCTTCGCATTCCACACCATGTTCCTTTCTTTCCTTTCTTCTCTTTCCACACAGCGTGCGTTTCTTCTCGTTCCATGCATCTTTGCGTTTGTGAATCATTTTCATGTTCTCCTTGAACGTCTTCGCTTGACGCATAAGCTTCCCTTGCTTGTGGGCAATCTCCTCAAGCAGCCTGCAGATGATAGCATGATTGTTTGATACGGCAGCATCGGCTTTGATGTTTCTGCAATAGAAACACGAAACTTGTTCTGCGCGGTCCTCACTGTGACGGACTACGACACCTCGCGAACAAAGTTTCTTTTTATGCTAAACCTCGATCCTTCTTGTGCCCTCACGCAACTTCAAGCAAGCATCTGAATGCTGTTTCCGAGATCCTTGGCAGTTCACGTTCACGTCAGCGCGTTTTCCTGTGCAGGGGAATTGACTCTGCTTATTTCTTTTTCTGTGGCTGGCGTTGTTCGATCTTCTTGCATTTTTCTTTCCCATCGCGAGAAAAATTCCCTTTTTGCGTTTGCTTTCTCTTACATTTTGTACAACTTCTTTTGCTTTCTTCTCTTTTCTTCAACAGTGTAGGAGCCGCTGGGATGTTCCTTCGCTTTTCTTCACTACTTCTTTGCTTCTTGTCTCGCCTTCGCAAGTCTGCTTTTTCCTTCTTAACCTTTGATAGTTTCTGTTTTGCGAGAGAAGTTCCCTTTTGCGCCTCCGGATTTTTCTCTTAAATCTCTTGTTGGATGACGTCATTTGCATTCTCCATGCCCCATGCTTTGAAACTTTCGAAGTACAGGCTCATCCTTTGTATCGAGTTTAGAATCTCTTGCTGCTGTCGCTTTACGTCTTCTTTGAAGTCCAGAAACTCCTGCCATTTGTGTATCATTTCGCCTTCATTCGCTGAAGCACGCACGCTCAGGCTCAGGTCTGGCCTTGTCGCATCAGATTCTGCAGTTGTAAACAGAGTATCATCAATGATGTCGGAATTGCTGCAAAGGGAATAATGCCTTTCT